GCTGGCTCTTATAATTTTTCTACCAACTCAGTGGTTAAGACAACTCGCTCCTGTTCCAATCTAAATTATTCAAGGTTAGATTTCTAATACTTACGTGGCATCTTCCAGCCATATATAACTCGTTAGAAAGGGATAAAAAACACTCTTCTTGTGAATCCCACAGGTACCAGGCATGCAGAGAGTACACAAATATACATGCAGACAAATAATACGTAGAAACAAATAAAATACAATTAAGAAACAAAACAAAAACTGTGACCTATGGAGACAGTTCTAAAAATCTAACCATAAAAATTACTGACTCCCTGCTTCAATTTTGTACCTCGGGTCATTTGCAGCACGAATGAGGTAATGGGCATGATCTGCACACAAAAGGGCAAAGCTGACTTTTTTATTGCTGACTCAGGCATTTGCATTATTTTTTTCCTGGAAGCTTCACTTAGATTTCTGCACTAACAGGGCCATGGAACTGTCAATGGACTTGCCCAACTGGCACATGTTAGGTCCCCTCTAATACCAGACATTTGGCCTGTATCCAAGCATTTCCACTCCTGCATTATTTCTCTGCAAATCTCCTTCTGTGGATGAGCAAAGAGCACATCTCTGGTCTGTATCTGATGCAAGGCCATGTGCTGTACCCCTCTTATGATGGTCCATTACTGTACACTGTGACAGATGTGGTATCACAACACGGGGCTGACTTTCAGCTGTGTGCCCAAAGACTCCCAGAACACTGGTAGCACACTTTCAAGACTGAGCAATTGTTTTTCTGTCACTTGTGAGCTGTAAAATGCACCAACTCACATGCTGTCACCTAATGTCTGTGGTGTCACTCAACTCTGAATATGTGGTGACTTAGTTGTATAGGACAGACAGAGAGAGGGAGGGAGAGAGCTGAAGGGTCTCTGCAGGTATCACTGCAGTTAGTGAAATGATCCACAAACAGGTGAGAATGCAAACTCAGTTCAGACTGTCTTTGCCAACTTGGATGAAACTTTGGGTAGTCTGATGTCATGCAAGTTTATTACCAGCATATTGAAATACACTATCTATAATCATGGAAAAAGTTTCTTGGTGTAACAAAATCACCACTAATTACATTGGAACTCAACTCAGGGTAAATATATTTTCTCCCAAGAAGATGGGTTCTGGAGACAGGCTACCTGTGTTAGCTTAAGGGTCTAAGGAAGGATCTGGCCTGGACTTGGTCATACAGATAGCATAGACATCATTTGAGCTGTCAGGTTATCTCTGGTTCCGGTTGTAGGACTTTGCTGGAGAGATAGCTAGGTGGTTAAAAGCACTTGTTGCACTTGCAGAAGACAGGAGTTCAAATCCCAGCGCCCCTGTTGGGTGGCCCAAGACTGACTAATAACTCCACATCTACAGAGTCTGACACCCTGAACTGAGCAAACACATTTGCACATACATATGTAGAGATATACACACATACACATGAATAAAATAATGAAAATAAATCTTTAAAAAGATCTCAGTCCAGCAGTGAATGTCTTTAACACCAGCACTGGAAGGGAGAGACAGGGTGGATTCCTGAAACTCAATGGCCTAATGCTCTAGTCCAAAAAATGATCTCCATGTTCAGAGAGATATCCTGTCTCAAAATAATGTAGATACCTTGATGGAAGATGTCATTCTGTAAATCTGTTTGTCTTACTGGTTGATGAATAAAGTACTCTTGGCCAATAGAGATGCAAGATAGGTGGGACTAGGAGTCAGAAGGATTCTGGGAAATGTAGTCAAGGGTAGAGGGTCGCCATATGATCCCGGGAGGAAAAGGCACAAGTCAGGAGTCCTCAGAAAGATAAGTCCCTATAAAAATATATATTAGTAATTATGGGTTAATAGTTAAGTCAGAGCTAGCCATTAAGAAACCATAGCAAATGGCCAATAGCTTCATAATTAATATAGCGCCCTACATGTTCATTTGGGACTGATTCGGCTCTGGGACCAGGCTGGCGGAAAGAATGCACTTTTCGATACTTTATGCATCTCTGGTTTCTACATGCAAAAGTACCTGTGGTGGCATATGCGCGTTCACATACTTATACACACACACACGCACACACATTCACACAAGTGTGCTGGCACATATGAACACATATACACATGTACCACATATCAAAGGATTTGCAGACACCCATGCACACATGCGTGCACACACATACACGCACACACACATATATACACATGTGTATGTGCTATACATATGAACACTTTATACATGCACTGATGGGGGAAGTCCTATGTATGGGCTTATCTTATTGGTTGCTGAATAAAGCACTATTGGCCTATAGGGAAGCAAGATAGGTGGGACTAGGAGTCGAGGAGGATTCTGGGAAGAGAGGCACAGTCAGTCATGATGTAGGAAGCCAGAGGAGTAAGAGGTCCGGACCCTGTTCTCCGGTAAGTGAAGATCACATGGAAATATTCAGATTAGCAATTATGGGTTAACAATTAAGACAGAGCTAGCTGATAGGAAATCATAGCAACGGCCAATAGCTTCATAATTAATATAGTGTCCTGCATGTTATTTGGGGGTTCAGACAGCTCGGCAGGGCCCAGGTGGCCGGTGGGAAGACTACATGCTACAATGCACCACATACTGTAAGATTTAAACACACACATGAATTCACAAAGATGTGCCTACACATATACTCATGTTCCACATGCCAAAAGATTTACACACACACCTAAACACACAATAACACATAAACACGATTCACACATATGTGTCTCTACACATGAACACATATACAGATGTACCACATACCAAAATGCATACACACACCACACACACAGAGACACACATACATTAGAATAATACAGGACTCAATGCTATGGTAGTATATTTATCATTTGGTATTGATAGTCAGAATATCTCAAGTAGGATATATTCAATGTTAGAAATAGTGGTAAATGTCCGTACAACCACACGTACTTTGCACTGAGGGGCAAATTTCCCTGTCCCCCTCCAATAATTCAAAGTTTAAGAAGTAAATTGTTCCCAGAGGGGAAGCCCTCACTGACAGGGGAGGAATGAATTCCACCTGTGGACGATGAGAGATGTTGAACGCACTCTGTTTCCAATGCTTCTACACAAGACACAATGAGACAAGTGGCCGGGACTACAACTGGCCCCATGCAGAAACACAGGTGGTAGCACACCTCTACATGGCACGGGACCTTTTTGTTTTGTTTTGTGGAGAAAGGGGAACACTCCTCCACTGCTGGTGGGAGTGCCAACTCATACAGCCACTTTGGAAATCAGTATGGAGATTCCTCGGGAAAATGGGAATCAGTCTACCACAAGACCCAGCAATTCCACTCTTAGGCATATACCCAAAAGATGCACATTCATACAACATGCAAGATGCATGTTCATAGCAGCATTATTTGTAATAGCCAGAACCTGGAAGCAAGCTAGATGCCCCTCAACTCAAGAGTGGACAGAGAAAATGTGGTACATTTCCACAATGGATTACTACTCAGCAGAAAAAAAAAACCAATGTAATCTTGAAAATTGCAGGCAAATGGATGGCACTAGTAACCCAGTCATAAAAAGACAAACATGGTATGTATCATATAGGTATTTTAGAAATGAAGCAGGGGAGTGCCAGCATACAATCCCACCACCAGAGAGTCTGGGAAATAGGGAGGACCATAAGAGAGATATACATGTACCCCAGGGGAAAGCAAAGGGACAGGATCTCGTGAGTGGACTGGGAGCATGGGGGGAGGGGACAGGGAGCTGGAGGAAAGTGAGGGGAAGAAGAGAAGGGGAGAGGAGGACATGGAGGAGCAGGAAAGTTTGGTCGGGGGAAGAATAGAGGAGAGCAGGATGAGAGATACCATAAGTGAGAGAGTGATTATAGGTTTGAGGGGAGATCTGGCACTAGTGAGATTTCCAGAGATCTACCAAGATGACACCAACTGGCAATCTAAGCAATAGTGGAGAGGCTACCTTAAATGAACTTCCCTGATAATGAGATTGATGACCACCTTATATACCATCCTAGAGACTTCATCCAGTGGCTGATAGAAACAGAGGCTGACACTCACAGCTAAACAGTGAACTGAACTCCTGGAAACCAGTTGCAGAGAGGGAACAGTGATGAGCAAAGGGGTCATGAAAAGGCAGGTAGAACCCAGAGAAACAGCTGACCTGAACAAGAATGAGCTCATGGACCCCAGACTGATGGCTGAGAGGCCAGCATGGGACTGATCCAGACCCCCTGAATGGGGGTGTCAGTGAGGAGGACCTGCGATTTTTTGGGTCTCCTATACTAGACCAGTATTTATCCCTGGCATCCAAATGGACTTAGGGAGCCCATTCTACATGGAGAGATGCTCTCTTAGGCTGGACACATGGTGGAGGGCCTAGGCCCTGCCCCAGATGATATAACAGACTTTAGAGATCCCACATGAAGGGCCTCACCTTCCCTGGAGAGTGGTGTAGGGATTGGGTGGGGGGCTAGAGGGGTCGGTGGGGTCGAGGGAAGAGGGGAGGGAAAGGGAGCTGGGATTGACATGTGAAACAAGCTTGTTTCTAATTTAAATAAAAAATTACAAAACTTAAAAAAATGCATGAGATGACTCACCTCAGCAAGTCAGAATATCTCAAGTAGGAGATATTCAATGTTGGAAACAGTAGTAAATATCCATACAACCACACATTCTTTGCACTAAGGGGAAAGTTTCCCTGTCCCCCCAATAATTCAAAGTTTAAGAAGTAAATAGATCCCAGAGGGGAAGCCCTCACTGACAGTGGAGGAACGAATTCCACTTGTGGACGATGAGAGATGCTGAACGCACTCTGTTTCCAATGCTTCTATACAACAAGACACAGTGAGACAAGTGGCCTGGGACTACAACTGGCCCCATGCAGAAACACAGGTGGTAGCATACCTCTACATGGCATGGGACCCTTCTTGCTTTAAAAGGCATGGGATGTCAGAAAGAGAGTGACTCACCCCAGCAAATCTGAAACAATTTCATGTTTATTAAATCAAAGGTTTCCAGCTAAAGATTCCCCATGGCAGGTAGATCTATATCCATATCCATATCCATATCCATACAGAAGACTTTGTATATCACTGATGTTAGCATACTACGTGCAAAGAAATTTTGAAGAGCAAAACATTCTCAGTAAAGTTTTTCTGGCACCTCACAGATGTGAAAAAGGAAGTTACAATCACTTCAGTTGCAGTCTCCACGGCATAATAGATGATGACATCTTATTATGGAGGTTGAGCTATTTTCTTCAAGGTGTTATGAGAATAGCAGGGATAGCAGAGACGATCTAACACCAGCCTTTTCTTCCTGAAGCTTTACCTGAATGAAGTTATTAAACATCAGATTAATGTTTCTGTTGATATGACATGTATTTTAGTAAAGAAAATACTTCCTGCTTACATAATCCCACTCACTGACATTTAAAATATTCTACTTACAGTTTCTTTAGTAAGTTTCCTCTCCAAGAGGTCCATTTGTTTTCTGGATTCCTCGATAATAGCTTTTCGGCGACAACTCTTAATAGCCTGTAGATTCTAAACCCAAAAGCCATGTTTAATTAGAAGTCACTGATGGTTATCTCTGTTCAAAACTGTTCAAAATCAGTATGTATTACAATACAAGCCATGGCCATTAATTATTCCAAAGTAAACAGATACTGTCTATTATATGAAAATCAAAATACCCACTAAAGGAATATGGAAATGTGAAGCTGAGTATAATACTGCTACAGGTGGAGGCACACGACTTTGTGTGATTAGGATGATTATGATCAGGACTGAATGTCCAACAACGAGTGAATTAGGATATACTATATCAAATCTGTTGCATTAAGCAGAGAGACCCAGTGATGCATGCCTGTAATTCCATCACCCCAAAGCTAGAGGCAGGAGGATCACTACAAGTAGAAGAACAGCCACTACATAGTGAGTTTCAGGCCAGCTGGGGCTACATAGAGAGATACTATCTATAAATACACTGTTGTGACATTACAAAACTATTAGATGATTTCTTCTCTTCTGTATTTCAGTGACTGAAATGAATATAGAACCGGAAATAACACAACACTTTAGCATCAGAATGGATAAGCAACTTGTTGACCTATGCAGGTGAAAATAAAGCTTAATGGCTACAGGTTAACAGAAAGATTAATATTCCAGTAGGAAAACAACAATAGACAGAGGCAACATGACTGTAGGGGAAAAGTTATGATAAGTAATCTAGATATAATAGCACAAATCGTGAATGTCTGTCCTCAAAGACAGAATGGGGTGGAGGGAGTTAGGAAGACAGAGGAGGAGGAGACAAAGATGATAAAGACAAAGACAACAATGATGGAGGAGGAGAGGGATGGAAGAGGAAGAAGAGGAGGGGGAAGATGGGGAGGTGGAGATAGAGGAAGAGGAGGAGGAGGTGGTGGCGGCATGTAGTATGTATGATGCAGATGATGAAGGGTACTCAGGAAATGCAACTCTGAATGAGGATGAGAGTAAGAGCTACCTCAAACCTGCAGGCTGATTTTGAAAGGCTTCCCCCTGACAGCCACTACTCAGGAGCACTTCCAATTAGCTGTTCTGAACACATGTATCCCAGTGTGCGCCAAGTATTACAAAACATGAAAAGAATTCTTTTCACTCACTTGTTTGGGATTATATCAATTAGCCTGGATGAAGGCAATTTAATAGGAACACAAGGCATTTAACATCAACTCGGAAAAAAGAATTTGAGTACACAAGAATTTATTATTTAATTGTGGAGTAACTATATACATGTACATGGTCAAGTTCAATGTCTCAGAGAAGAATTGGTAAGATTCACTTAAAACAACAGATAACTCACTAACTGTTCATCTTCACTTCCTGTTTTGCTTCATCATGCTTATGGGCTTTGTCTTATCATTCTAAGTGTCCACATACAGCAATAGGCACACAGTTCAATAATGCAATAAAACAAAGGGACTCAAGAAACAAAGGATGGGTAGACTTCCTACACTGAATTTGTCACAGCTGAAGGCAAAATCAGATTGTGGGAGAAAGCCATGGTATAAAAAGCAGTACTTCCCCCAAACAATAAGTATGACTCTGGGTAAAGTTACAAATGCACCAACCGCTGCTTTGAAGTTGTTGTCATTAATTTAAGAAAAGCAGGGCTCACTGGAGAGAAAGATGCCATGGGACAGGATTCAAGCAGAGATGGTTTTGATTAGGGAAAGGGATCATAAAAGGGGGAGGGGGACACTGGTCTCTGGAGAAGAGAGCAGCAGGAGAGAGGAGAGAGGAAACAGGGGGGAGAGAGAAGGAGAGGGATACACAGAGCAGAACAGAGGGAGGGAGAGAAAGAAATAGAGAATAGGATGAGAGGTGGGTGGGACCCCTTTTAAAATGGAATGTAGGGAAGGTGCACAGGTGGTACTCTCAGTGGCTGCAGCTGAGGGCGTATCCTGCCAGATACCCCAGGGACAGGCCAGTCCAAATGCCTGTATACTAACAGAAGGAGATGAATGAATAATGAATCCTGAAAGGAAGTGCTCATTTAGTGGTAAGATTTACCAGACATAGTAGCACTGTGAGAAAATGAGTGAACTTTACAGGCATGAGCCCCAGCTTTTGAACCCTAGTATGGAAAGAAAGTCCGTATTTTGATTTTCCCTATGACAGGATATTTTGTAGGAATGTTCAACAGACCTTCAAGTGTCGATTACATAGCTCCTTAAATTCTTCTATTTTCTGCTTATGAATAACTTGAAATTGATGAAAAAGCTCTTGTTGCTGATCAAGTATATTCTATAAACATAAAAAGACATAAAAACATTTCATGAAAAATGAAGTGCTTGCCAAAAATAATTCAATATTTCATTAAAATGCTATAATTTAAAACAAGTATTTTTGACATTTTATTGACTTAATTGGAATAGTGTCTTACTAGTATTCAAAACATTCCCATTAGTTCCTGAAGACTTGAAAAGCCACCCATTAGAGGCTTACACAGCTGGTGAACTATGTTTTTTACAGAAATTAGCCTAAGATGTCATCATCTGTCACGGCCCTACATAGGAACACACTCCATTTTGTCCTTCCCAATGAGAGTAGAGCCCCCAGTGTCATGCTTAACAGGGAAGGAATCTGTAAGACTTGACTTCAGATACTGTCCTGGACCAATATAAGAATACACACCTGTAGGAGGAAGCCGTGTGCCTTTAGTAAGTCACATGGCTAATGGCGGCACACGGCTTCCTCCTACACACACCTGGATACTTTTATCTGTTCTGTGAGACAGGGACTTTAAGTATATCTCCTTGCACTCCTAGGAATCTGAGGCACAGAGGTAAATTATTTTTCCTGAGTCAGCCTGACTAGCGAGTGACTGAACTGTGACTGCCCTCCAACCGGTGAGATTGCAGAGGCCATGCTCCTGACCACTGGACTGGACAGGGTCTCCATCTCCCTCCGTGTTCCACCCTCTGCTTCCCCACCTTTGGAAGGCAGAATCTTCAGGAGGGCAGCTCCATCCTCCACAAGGAAGGAAGATCCCTCACAGATGGCACTGTCCTGACTCCAGTAGCTGTCCCCAAAACCTCATTCAGATCCCCAGGTTAGAGGGGAGTCAGTCACCACATGTCCACCATGGCATGAAGCCTTACCTTCTTCTCCACTAGGAGTGGGCTGGTCTGAACTCAGAGCAGTGAAAGTCAAATCTCCACCTGCTCTGCCACAGGCACAGGCACACTGACTGCTCTCACTCTGTATCTCTGATCACTGTGCCAGAAGGCTCTGTTGGGGGACTTCCCCTGGTGTCTGCACATTGTGGACCACAGAGGGCTCCCTGGGAGCATACAAGCCCCTATCTTCTCCTGCATTCTCCAGGCAGCAACTGCTCATGCCCCCCCACACACACACCATGGTGGCTCCTAACCCATCACTGGCCTTGTCATCTCCCTGCCTGAAAAGGAGCAAGTGGAGAGGGATAGCCAGTCTGTCCTTACCACGTGAACCACCGTCCTGTCTCCCTAAGCTCTTGTCCTGTCCCTTCCCTCCAGACTCCTGTAGGAAGGCCTGCTGCTTCTGATGCTGACACAATGCATTCCTTCAAAGATAAGCCTGATACTCACGAAGAGATTTTCTCCATGCTTCTTGACTTCGTCTGCATCTATATTCCACATCACAACCAAATTCAAAAACTGATGAGAATGTTCCTGATAAATCTCCTGCCTGAAAAAGATAACATTGACCACTGTGACATTCAGAGCACGACTGTCTTGCTCTCACTGGCACTGCGGATGGAGGATGAGGAAATGGCACCTAAATTATTCTGGCAGAGAAAAGGGCACTGCTGTGGACTATTTTATCTTACACTAACAGTATTTGTCCCTCCCTGAGTGAGAGAGCAGTCACTTCACAGCCAGTTGTACCAGAAAGCGCAGGAAGAACTGCTGTGTTACTAGCATTCCACACGTATTTACTCGTCTGTCTGACAGGCACAACTTCTGGTTAGTTTCCTCTTTCTGAAGAACAGATCCAATGGGCATGAACACCCACTACCACCAGAGAATTCTGTGGAGGCCTACCCAGTCTTCCTCTCATTGTGCTAGGGAGGAGTCATATATTTGCAATTTACCTTGTTCCTAAAATTTATAGATTATTCTCCTATAAGATTTATATTTTTTCAGGAATAAAAGATTCAGAAGCAAGTTATGGACAGCAGAGAATTTATGAATTGTGAATTCAGTCAGTTATTTACTGATGTTTTAGCTTAATGTCTACTCCTCCTGCTCATGATATTTTCAAAAGTACAACTATTAGCATTCAAATGTCTATTTAACATAATAATGAATGCAGTAAGACTAGAGCTGCATTGCCTAAACTAGGTTCCACATAATACCTGTTGCTTGTGATAATAGTAGAGACACCAGCACAGAAATTTTCTATGTTGAAGTCATCTTAGGAAGGTATGCAATAAAACAGATGTATTTATCAACAAAAAATGTATCTGTTTCCCCCATATGTGTATGTGCTATATGGAAAGTATTTTGAGATAGTCAGCATTAAACCACCCATCACATTCATGGGACGCATGCAAATTCTTTATGGTGAATAGATTCAAATACATTAAATTGACAAGACAGAAAGATCATCTTTACTGACAGCTTAGAAATACAGCTGATTCTGGTTATAATGTGAGGGTATAGGCGGAAAGGTGTTATTTTCCATGGCAAACCTAAGCCATATGAAGTTTTCACTAGAGGTTTCAACAAACAGAAAATGCCAGGTAGTCCTTAGCAAATGGTTTATTCATGAGTACCAAGAAATGTGCAAAGGTTGTAGTGTCAAAATAGGGAGTCTTACCTTTGCTCATGCTGGAGCTTCAGGAAGTGGTTAATTTTCTGCTCGATGTTGTAGATAGTTTTACTGACTGAATGCATATACCTTTTCCTCCTTCCATGAAGAGATTTCTTACTAGGCCCTGTATTGAAAATCCTTATAAACATTTATTGTTAATAAGGTTAGCACTACTGCACTACTATTATAAAGATCCCGGGTACCAACACATAGCCATCCTTCTGAAAAATCAAGAGTACTCCACTCCTTCCTGTCAGTGGAAATTTATAGCAACTACCACCTTAATTTGAAAATTGATACTTGTACTTTAGATGTAAAACACACCTAAAGAGATTTACCAAATCTTACAAGATTTTCAGAAGTATTGTTTAATCTCTCTGTAAGAAGTCATTTAAAGTCTAAATTTAATCAATATGCAAAGTATCATCCAATTCAAGCCCACATTAAGAGGAACCATTGGGCTGCTTCATGAAAAGTTTAAGAGTATTCCACTTACAAAGTCTCCAAAGGTTCAGAGAGTATTGCATGGTGATATAGAAATACTGTGTTTAATGTAGACGTCCAGGGTTTTAGACAAATATAAAAGAAACATAGACATTTTGAACAGTGTAAGGAACAAAATAAAGTGGTTTATGGACAATTCTATTGCGGTTCTGAGGATGGAAACCAGGGCCTTGAGCATACTAGGTAAGTGCTTTCTCACTTAGCTAAAACCCTACCACAATTCCTGAGCAATTTCTAAACAGAGGTCTATCAGTTCAAAAACTCTAAAGTGGTTCTGAGTTTGATCTTTAACACAGATCATGTGGCTACTGTCTGGCATTGCAATTCAGAACCAGACTCATTCTGATTCTACAGTGCTCACATGCTAATGTAGACTAACTCCATTGTGTGTGCTACGTATACAATGTAAACAGTAGTGAGTGAGCTGTTTCAGTGTTATTGGTCCTCACTGTCCCACCACACACAAAAAAGACTTGAGACAAGCAGTCACAATGACTGAAATTAAAAAACATAACCCAGTATTAAAAACAAATATATCACTATCTGTAACAAAGTCTGGAACATAGATAATTTCATTCACTTTTCTAAGATTCTGCAGTATGTAATTTTAAAAAATACCATTTTTGTCCATGGTGATACATGCCTTTAATTGAAGCCAGCACTTATAGGGCAGAGGCAGGTGGATCTCTGTGAATCAGAGGACAGCCTAGTCTACATACTGAGTTACAAGCCAGCCAGGGATACATGGTGAGACCTAGTCTCAAAAACAAAACAAACGAACTAAAACCACCATCTGTAAGCACAATACTCCTCACTTAATATCCACAATCAAAATCTCTAAAGTAATAAACACCATTGTGATGTGGAGTGTATGAGAATAAGGCACGAGACACACTTTCATTTCCTGCTGATGAATACTTCTTGGCATTGGAGCACTTTACTTTCAAACAATTTTCTAAAGCTACTAAGGACTCCTAAGGATAGGCCAGGATGCCTGCCGACCACACACACACACACACACACACACACACACACACACACACACACACACCATTTTCTGTATTTTACCCTGGAGGAAAGCTCACTGGCTTTGAATTCAATATAGGTAAAACACTATGTTTCTTGTGGGTAGGACTGTCCTGGGCCCCAAGGTTTACATAGAATATGTGTTGCAAGAGCAGGAGTTGACTTTTCTGAAGTACATTATCAACAGCAAAAATTCCTTTAGCTTATCACCTGGCTTTGGTCCACCTGTTTTGTGGGAAGAACTGTTTTCCCCACTGGTTTCAAGGGCTGGTCTGTTTCCTATATTGAATAAAAAAATAGTCATTTTCAAGTTATGTATGCAATTTTGGTCATCCTACATGATTAGTAGGATGGGCTTCCCTGGATGTATGGCATCAAAAGTTTTTAGAACAGAAATAAGAGTCTGTGTAGGTGAGATACAGTTGAGGAGACCCTGGGGACATTTATGTACAAGGGCCTCCAGGTTCAAATCATTGTAAACCATGTCCTTTGAGTGAGACGTGTTGGGTACAGCAACTGCACGGGCCAGGACAAGAGGCTCTATGAAACATCGCAGCTCCACCATATGGCAGGAACACCAAATGGGAATTATAAGGCCCACAAACACACTCTGAAAACGGTTTTCATATTTGAAATGTAGCTTGATTCCCAAGAAATTTCCTGTGCTCCACCTAAATGCATCAGACTATCCTTTGGGGGGAAGGGCAGGAACTGTCTTGTAGGCATCCTGACGTGTGTGTGTGTGTGTGTGTGTGTGTGTGTGTGTGTGTGTGTGTGTGTGTGTGTGTGTGTTTTGGGACAAGATCTCATGTAGCCTAGTCTGGCCTTGAACTTGCTATGCAGCTGGAAATGACCCTGAGCTTCTGGTCTTCTTGATTCCACCTCCTGGGCGCTAGTATTAGAGGCATAGGTCAACACATCTGGTCTTACGCAGTTCTGGGAACTGAACCTGGAGCTTCTTGCACATTAGGCAAACACTGAACCAACTGATCTACATTCTCAGCCCTCCCAGTCCCATTTCACCTGGGTTATTTTCAGGTGGGTTATTTTCACTCAGCAGCTGTAAATCATCAGATGGTAGATCAGGAGTCATCTCAGACTGCTTAGGAGGTTTGCTCTTGATCTTGGATGCCATGACAGTAGCCTCCCTGTGCTACACAGGAATCCTGAACATTGTGTGTGCAAAGGCACATTACAGATACAAGGAAGAGTTAAATGAACGCCACAAGCAAGAACAGGTATCAGGTTTCCACGGAGTTGGCCCTGATGTCCTTTCCACATGTGCTAGAGGACTAGGAAGGGACCAGGAAAAAGAAGATGGCTGGTGTCTCTTGCAACAGAAGTCCTACCCCTCCCAGTCCCATCCTTCCTGTGTCCAGCAAAAAAAAAGGGGGGGCAGCTTCCTGCGGCCTGGAGTCCTGTCACTTGTCCCCGAGCAGGAAGGGACCAGGAAAAACAAAGAGGCACTGTCTCCTGTCCCACCCCTCAGTCCCAATCCTTTCCATGTGCAGAGTAAAACGGGGCGTCACCACACCCCTCACCCCCAAATTTAGTCTTGTGTGTTCCCCACTGCTCAGGACAGACGCGCCAGGGTCCACCCCTCCCTGTCCTCATGAAGTACTTGGTGCTGGTGTCTGGTCAGAAAGCCTAGTTCACCAAGCGCTTATGCATGGAGACGAACTGTTTCTGTGTCTGGGTGAGAGCCCCCCTCATTCACCCAACAGCAGCACGCCAGGACACCCAGATGTCCATGAAAACTAGTGGCAGGCACGGGTTGAGAATGGTACTCACTCCGCCTACCTCACTTCACACTGCCCCGCCCGGTCCTCCCGGGACCTTCAGTCCGCAGGCCCCCTTCCTCAACCTCCCGCAGGGGCCTTGTCCAGTCCGAGGTTGAAGGGAAGGAGGCTTCTGAATATTGCCTCACGAGTTCACCTGTTCCCACCTCCACCCAATCCCCCACCTCCGCCCTCCACGGCCTCGAATCAACCTTAGCCTCCGTTTGCTGGAGCGTTACCACACGGTCCTTCCCCACAGGTTCCTGGACTCCCGACTCACCACCCGCGGACACAGCCTCACACAGTCTCCTCAGAGCTCCGATTTTCCCCCTCACAGGAAAATACCCGCTACTTAGTTAGGCCCCGCCTCCCGGCGCACGAGCCTCTCTGATTGGCTGGAACAGTGCGCGTGCACGTGAGCCTGGTGCATGAGCCTCTCTGATTGACTGGAGCACTGCGCATGCTCATGCTGCTGGCTTAACCCCGCCTGCTCAAACCCGGCCCGGCTGAGGTGATAGGAATTATTGCTGTAGCCTTGAAGGCTTGTTGCCCATCAGGGTCTCTGTATTGGGTCTTCACCGAGTCTCAGCTTGGCAAATCATCGGAGGACAAGGGAGAACAAGACTAGCCCAAGGCCCAAACTGCTTGTAGTACCGACCAGTGGGCAGTACTTGTCTCTTACATCCTCCTTCAGTCCACGCTTCCCAGCAGAGGAATGGCTGTCCCCTTAGTCCTCCTGTCTCAAAAAGTTCCTTCCCTTGGTCGGAGACATAGTCCAGTAGTTAAGAGCACTTGCAACTCCTATATAGCACGTGGGCTCACAATCCCTGTAACTCCAGTCCCAGGGGATTCATGCCTCTTCTGGCCCCTGAAGGCTCCTTCACACATATGAGCATCTGGTGCACATACATATGCTCAGGTACACATACATACGCATAAGATAAATACTTTTTTTGTAAAATAAAGAAAGGAAAGTCACTGGTTACTTGTGGGAAGGTGGAAACAGACTCGCCCGCGGCTCTGTATGGGGTTGCATCTATCCTGCATCCTCTTCCTCCCCTGATCCCTAACTTTCCCAGCGCCAGAATTAGCATTTTTATGTAACACCTACTCTGTGCCCGCCTGTTCAACCTTGCATTCCCCACTAGACTCTCAACAGTTTGATACTATTCACATGCTCCCTCTGCTAACCTATTATCACCGTTGGTATTCCCCCAGAGTATTCAGTTTCACGTCTGCAGATTTCCCATTTATTTTCTGGTTCCATCCCTGTTCACATGACAAACGTTTTACAGCACATGAACAAGTAGAGTTGGTGGGTCTTAGGCTAGCAAAATAGTCTTTAATATTCAGAAATTTCTCAATTATTCTGTAACAGCAGGTGGGATTCCCCTTGTTACATGTACTCACCAATACATCAAGTAGTAGGATATATTAAAGCTGCCACTCCAAGAGATGCAGAATGGTATTTCTTTACTGTTTTTACTGTCCAACCACTAATAATATTGAGTTGTTTATTCCTTGACGGTTGCTGCTCACTTGTTCTTCCTTCATATTAAAATCACAATGTGAATCGAATGACGCACCTTCAATTAAAGAAGTCTATGTGCCTATCCAATACAGGGGCAATGTTCTAAATACATAAAGAACTCAGAGAAACCAGATATCAAGGAAACAAATAACCCAATGGCACAGATCTAAACAGACAATTCTAAAGAAGAGGAATCATAGGTGGCTGAGAAACATTAAAGAAATTGCTCAACATCCTTAGCCATCAGGGAAATGCAAATCAAAACGACTCTGAGGTTCCATCTTAAACCTGTCACAATGGCTAAGATCCAAAACACAAAAGACAGCTCATTCTGGAGGGGATGTGGAGCAAAGGGAACACTCCTCCACTACTGGTGGGAGTGAAAACTTGTACAGCCACTATGGAAATCTATGAGGCACTTCCCCAGGAAGATGAGAATTCATGTGCTTCAAGATCCAGCTATGCCACTTTGTGCATATACCCAAAGGATGTTTCATCCTACCACAGAGACTCTTGCTCAAGCACGTTTGTTGCTGCTCTATTCGTAATAGCCAGAAATCAGAAACAGCCTAGATGTCACTCAGCCAAATAATGGGTAAAGAAAGTGTGGTACATTTGCACAATGGAGTGTAACTCGGTCTCCTAAAACATTAAAGCCTGAAAATCGCTGGTAAATTGATAGAGCTAGAAAAAAATAATCATCCTGTGTGAGGCTGAGGAACAGAAATGTGGTATGTGTTGAGTTATATATGGATTAATGTTATTTATTAAATTGTTGAAAACCAAGCTATAACCCATAGAGTCACAGAGGTGAGGTAGAGAGTAAGGGACCAGGATGAGGGTGGGGCGGGGCAGGTATACTCATTAGGAAAGGAAAATAGAATAGATGGTTATGGAAGGATTCTGGGGCTGGAATTGGAGGGTCAAATGTGGGGATGGGGGAGGGAATATGGGGAGAGAGCACTAAAATTAAGGGCCTTTTCAGGTGTAGTATGGCAACCTAATACAGTAGAAGCTTCCTAAAATATATACATATATGAAGACAATATAAATGAGATCTCCAAAATAATGTGGGAGACAGAGACCCAACTGGCCATGTCTTGTCACCAAATGAAGGTTCCAGTATGAGGATTGGGTTACATCTAAGTGTGGTTTTCACCAAAGGATGTCCCATGGAATTCCCCAAACAACCCAGGCTGTTGCTAAGACTGGAAAGAGGTTGCTCTTCACAAACTGATGGCAAGTCCCCATTGATGAAGAAAATACCTACATGACTCATTGAACATGGTGAAGTCGAGCTGAGCTGGTGCCTCCATAGAGCCTCCACTCCTAGGTTCTAGTGTCTCTGACACAGGAAGGTACTCTGCACACTACCAAAAGAGGAGTGGGAACACTAAGCCAGCCACAAACCCTTCGGTTTGTCCTGCCTGTGAGATATGCTAGGGCAATGGTGGCGCAAAGCTCGTGGGAGTTACGAAACAATGTCTGATTTGACTTATGGCCCACTCCTCGAGATGAATACCTGGCACCGCTTGGGTGACCAAGAACCTGAGACTAGATAGCTCGGAGACCTAGGGAAAAACCAAGTGCTACTGTTCTAAAACAAACAACAAACAGAACAAGACAAAATCCCACAAAACCAAGAAAGTAGCAATAAAATGTCTCCTAATGACATTCTGCTATACTTACAGATCTCAGCCTTGCTCAGCCATCATCAGAGAAACTTCCTCCTGAAGCAGATGCGAACAAGTACAGAGATCCACAGTCAGGCATTATGCAGAGGGTGAGAGACTTTGGAACACTCAGCCCTAAAATGGGGTGTCTCCACCAAATCCCTCCCCTCGGGACTCAGGGAACTCTGAGGAAGAAGAGGTAGAAAGATTATGAGCAAGAGGGGATAGAGGACCCCAAGAAAACGAGAATTAAAGATGATCAAAGCTCATATGAACTCAGAGAGACCGAGGCAGCATACAGAGGACCGGCAAGGGTCTGCAACAGTTCATCTGGGTATATATTATGACTCCCAGTTTGGTGTTTTTATGAGATTCTTGAGTGTTCAAACAAGTGGGTTCCCGATTTGTGTGGCCAGTTCTTGGGCTGTTTTCCTTCTGTTTGTTTTGTCCACTTCTGATGTGTCAGCTTTTTGTTTTATCTTATTATATTTTATTATTTTTTTAAAATCTATTATCCCTAGGTACCAAAGTAGGTTTGACTTTAAGTTTTTTAACCATCAACATTACTGAAGTGGAGAAATTATTATCCTTCATCATGCAAAGGTATGCTCAAATGAAAATAATAATTATCTCCATTTACTTAGTATATTTCTGATTCACAGTATTTAACACCTTCCTTAACAGTATTCTTGAAATTCGCAATTAATTCATTAGTCCATTATGAGAGTTTTTTTCTGGTCCCAGTTATTCACTCCCTTGAGGCTTTGTTAATCAGTGTAAGTAACCGAAATACAGTATTAGAGGAAGCCCAAAACACTAAACGGCATCTATTACAACCCCACGGTGTTAGGGGGTCTTCCATATTTGAGTTCCAATCCAAGTTTGCCTCCACTCTAGTTTTTATGCTTGCGCATGAAGGCCTTTTATAAGTCTCTGTTATTTTTCTGCAAAATTAAGAAAACAACAGAGTTTAATACTCGAGGTTATTGAAAGGATGCATACCTTATATGATTATCTAGCAAAGGCGATATTTTCCTATTCACCTACTCCCACTATTTCTTTTTTATTTTTATTTTTAAATTTAAATTAGAAACAAGATTGCTTCACATGTCAATTCCCGGTCCCTCTCCCTTTCCCTCCCCTCCTCCCACCCCCTCCCACCAATCCATCCAATATCCCCCCATTTTTCCAGGGAGGGTGAGGCCCTCCATGGGGGTGTCCATAGTCTGTCATTTCATCCAGGGCAGGGCCTAGACTCCCCGCCAAGAGTCCAGGGTGGGAGTGCATCTCTCATTGTTGGATGGGCACCCAAAGTCCATTTGTATATCTGGAATAAATACTGATCTACTACACAAGGCCCCATAGATTGCCTAGGCCTCCTCACTAACACCCACATTCAGGGGGTCTTGATCAGTCCCATACTGGATTCCCAGCCATCATTCTGAGATTCAAGAGCTAACCCTTATTCAGGTCAGCTGTTTCTGTGGGTTAAACCAGCCCAGTCTAGACCCCTTTGCTCATCAGTCCTCCCTCTCTGTTACTTGGTTCCTTGAGTTCAGCTCAGTGTTTAGCTGTGGGACACGACCACTGTTTCTACCTCAGCCTTCTTCTGATTTCTTGTTGTATATTTAATTCAAAGCATTTTCCAAGTATTCTGTTTGACTCGAGGGATCCAATGTGGAGTGTATACAACACCCTCAAGTCAAACAGAATACTTGGAAAATGCTTTGAATTAAACAATGTTAACAACAACACAGAAGTTGTGCGCCTCTCAAATTGGAAGAAGTGTTTTCTACATTTATCTTCGTGGCTGTTCTGCTTCATTTACTAAAGCATAAAAAGCCCCAGTAATGCATAATAAAAGCCTATTTTCTAACTTCAGCTCTTAGTTTGGATTTTAAATTCTTTGCTAATCTACACTTGACTGTGTGTCTGGTGTCTTGTAGAGACCCAAACGTCTTTTTTCCTTTCCATGTGGAAACTCAGTTTTCCAACCTCATCACTAGGGAGTATATACTTTCATAATATTATTAGTTTATTCAGCTTGTAGAGATATCTCTATGTGTATGAAATGTGTGTGTGCATGTCCCTGTGCATATGTTGTGTGTGCATCCGGTAGGAGGACAT